GTCCATTAAGTCTGTTCACTAAGTCTAATTTTTCTCATTATAATAAAGATTGATAGAAAGGATTTCAAGAACTTAAAGCTTCATATAAAAAATTCTTCAAATATTGTTATAGATTCACTCTATCTGGTGAATTAACAATCATTGCAAGTTATCGTGTTAACTTGCATGTATACATTTTGTACTTGAAGAATAGCTAAATAGTAAGTAGTTTAGTCATACCAGCTGAATAAATATATTTAATATTAAATTTTGTATGGCTCATTGCTGTAGAGTTTATTGAGCTAGAATTACACACGCTATGAACAACATACATCTAATCAAACACGGCATTAGACATCGTCATATTCACCAACCATGTTATCCAAATAATTAGAGATATAAACAAATATAATTTTGTTAGGGGTATTTCCATTATTCGACTAACCAGTTAATCAAAAACTAATCAGTAAGTATGAAAGGCAGAACCTGGTAATATGGTCGCCAACTTATGGCTTATTATTTCTAACACTCCGTTCTAGTGACCCTAACACTATCCTTCTTGGCTTTTGCGCATTTACGTATCCATGATTCTTGATCCTTCGATCTAAGACTATTGCTAACCTTTGATAGAAATTAGTATGGAGGATTTAAAAATGAACATTCTCAATTAGGTTGCTTCTATGTTCACAACTTTTTTATTTAATATATTAATCTGCAACTAACTTTTCGCGTGACGGTAATCTGGGCCTTTGATCAAGACTCAAAATGATTCGAAACCTAGAGCTATCTAGGTTATTGCCAGCAAATGCCTACAAATTAAACAAATACTAACAGAGACGTGGCAGAGACTAAATGACTTATGATTTTATTTATCGTAATGAAATAGAAATATGAATATATATAGTGTAACTATGGATAGGCAAGTATGGTTTTTCTGAAAATCAAGACATTTTGATTCTTGTTACTTTGAATCCGGAGTATTTCAGTTGCTTTACAGCTAATTCAGTAGAACAAAATCTGTTGCGTATCATGTGTCACAGTGACTATATGCACAGTAAGCTAGAATTGTGCCAGAGAAACATTTCACTCAATTGATGAGATTTTATCAACACTTTTGGGTGTGTAGAAACTTACCCTAACTGCTTCTCACTACCTCCTTTGGTCTCCTACATAAGCATCGCTTATCATGTCTTATATAATGCGACGGATGAATAAATCATATTCTCGCCACGGACACATGTGCTTCTCATCAAACACCCTAAACTGACCTATCTCATCAAAATTGTTTGACTAGCAAAAGGCAATAAAAAGTTTACATTAAAACGCAAGTTAGTAAGCGGGATGATGTCACATTTGGAGTTAACTTTGCTAAGGTAAAATCTCCTTTGTGGTGACTGCTTATGCCCACGAGCCGTTATTGGGATAATCTTATAACCCTTACTGGTAACACAATTTAATACTTACATTCCAAAGCTGATCTCGTGCATAATACTCGCCTTAAACCAGCCTTAAGAAAGAAGTTGTTTGACCTTGTTTTCGCAACTTGGTCAGATTGGTAGGAAGACTTATAGGAACGCACCTTGTCCTGAGTCCATTGTATGCATAATTATTTCCAGAGTCG